CCAGTGACTGGCCGGAAGTCAATGGCTAGTGGCTGGCCAAGCGTGAATGGCCAGTGACTGGCCGAAAGTGACTGGCCAAAGCTGAATGGCCATTCTCTGGCCTAAAGTGAATGGCCAGCCACTGGACAAAGGTGAATGGCCAGTCACTGGCCTAAAGTGAATGGCCAGTCACTGGCCTAAAGTGAATGGCCAGCGACTGGCATAAAGTGAATGGCAAGTCACCAGACGAGGACGAAAACACTTCTATTGCCGAGCACTTTGGCCAAGCTTGGGCCATCGAAAATCTGGTTGGCCATAGTACACTTGCCAGCGATGGCCCATTCACAACGTGCTGCTTGGGATGTCAGCGCTTGGTCCAACCGGTTTCTTTGACTCGTAATTTGTACTGTTCGCGCTGTTTCTATTTGAGTCTTACGTATTACATACAACACGGTGATTCTTTTTTTTTGTTTTGTTTTGTTTTTGCAAAGAGCGAAAGTATACAGGCGTTGTGGTTAAAAAACATAATGATATCTTATACAAAGAGATATATAATAACGAACAAGGTGACAAAATATCTTGTCCGTCAGGTTATACATTCTTGTCTAAGCAATTAGGCTATGTCGTTTGGTTTCGAGAATTTTTTCGATGCCTCTGGGAATATATGTGGAAATCTAAGTCCTCATCCAGTTTCTTGTGATTTGAACTGTTCGGGTTTTTCTTGCATGCCAAGCCATTCTGACATATGCATTATCTCTCCCATATGGACCACATTAACCACTTTTCACCGGTAAAAAAATACATTGATCATTACGCGGGTTGTTGATTTCTAGAATCCTAGCGGCATTAGTGTTTAAGGTTTATAAGATCAACTGACGTTTTATATGAACCACTCGTTTGCGGTTTTTGAGGGATACGTATATAGGTATGTTGGAAGGAATGGCGTTGGGCATAGGGTCCAGTGGTATCCCTGTTGTTCTGCGAAGTGGCAATTTGCTCTGGACACAATTCTTAGTTCCCGATCTTTCTCAGCATGACCAAGTTAATATATTTTTTTCAGATCACAAAAGGAAAACGTCTGAGATCCAGGTGTTAAAAGTGGGTTTAGCAATAATAACCCAAATTGCACCAAGTTCTGGGCCAAAGCTTGGCTTTTGTCTGGGAGTTTATTGAAATGCCCGAAGAAGCCAAAGCAGAGCCGAACCTGACCTTCCTTGGCAACAGTCTGGGTATTTTGGCCCTAATTCGCCAAACAAGTGCCAAACTTAACTTTTTGATAGTTCGGCTGTCATTCGGCACCTTCAGGCCAAAATCGCCACAGATGTGCCAGAGTTAGGCTCACTACCTTGTAGTTCGCTTGACATCTGGCATCTTTGGGCCCAAGTCGCCAAACGAGTGCCAAAGTTAGGCTAAGCTTCCCGATATTTCGGCTGTTATCTGGCAGCTACGGGCCAAAGTTGCCAAACAAGTGCCAGAACTAGGCTTACTGCCTTGAAGTTCGGCTGATGAGGTATTTGATTTACGCGGGGGGTCTTCATCTTAACTAAATAGAAATCAAGTTTTATTCGGCTGGCCAGTTTATCTTATTTTGGGTGTCTCTTGATTTCTCCAGTACAAAGGTTGGCTGAATGTTTGGACGCGGCTGGACCAGGTTTTGCAAACGCATATTTTGCCGGATGTTGTACTCGCGCGTAGGTACACACGTCAATATCGGGAATCGGGAAGCGCCGTGAGACTAGTTCTACATTAAGGCGCGTTTACACCGCCGATGCGATCTAGTCGCGTGATAACTTTCATCGCAACAGCGACCATCGCGGGCAAAGAGCGACGCGATTTGAGCAGTCGCTTGCTGAGCCGACGTTTTGCGATGCAATCTAGTTGCGGAAAGGCTGAGCTAATCAATGGCGTTCGGAGCAAGAGTTTTTAAGAAGCGACTCGCCAACGAAGGCGTTGGACTCGCTCATCGCGCACGCCAGAGTGACCATCTAATTACTTTTTTTTTCGATGCGATTTAGTCGCATCACGCGACTGCAAACAGCCCCGGTGTGACTGCGCCTTTACAGAAAGTGCTGCCATCGTGCTAGCGGCGCATTGCAAAAGCGAGCGTTGCTCTGTGTGTGTCTTGCATTGTGATTGAGCACTGTCAAATCCTAGCGATAACAAAGAGAGGAAACGACCTGGGCTCCGTGTCGCGGCGTCCGCATTACACTTGAGGAATAAAAATGAAATCCCAGAACTTGTACTATTTTAGCGTGTTGGTACTTTTTAGACATTTAGAAAGTGGAGACACAAAAGGGACGATACAGGCAGGACAATCTTTCGACTTCAACAACATTTATTTTCGGCTTCAAGCTCAAAGCCCGCCCGCTCCGTGGGGGTACCGGAAAGGGAAATCTTTGGGGAAGGAGAGGAAGCGGAGGAAGTGTACGCGATCCCCCTGTCTTGCGGGGCCAGGTACATCGGGCAAGCGGGGCGATGCCTCAACGACCGACTCCAAAAACATCAAATGCACGCCGAAAGACCTGCTTCGGATTTTCAGCACCCGATCGTCATTCACGGGAGAAAATGTCCCGGCTGCGCTCCTAATTTTGCCGGCACGACAGCCATGGCAGGCCACTGCGAGCGCGTCGGGAGCGGGTGGCGACAAGCCCGCAAGACATAAGCACCCCTTCCATTTCGTTCTCAAGAAAGGAGATTATCTTTCTGAGGCTCACAATGCAAGCCAAACGCTGACAGACTAGGAAAGGCGACAAGGTGACCGGCAGAAGCGGCCTTTCCTCTCATGCCTTGTTGATGCCCCTTCGACCTCGCCTTTTGCAAATCCTCCCCACCTGCCTTTGTGTCTTCGTGTGGCTGTCAGCGAGCGCGACAGCCGCTTTAAGCAAATCAAAAGGGTGGAGCGAAACGCGTGACCCGGCGTGACCTCTCTACGTAGAGCGCGTAGGACAAAAACGTTTGACGAAAAATTGTCACGTGACTCTCCCTGTCACGTTGATCGGATCTCTGGGGCTGCCGTTTTCGCCGTTTGCCTAGTTATAGAAATAGGCGGGCCACGTAGGTCCGGTTTTCGAAATGCGCTCTTCAGTATTATGTTGCTTTCGTGCGTAGCAGACGCGGCCGTGTTTTTTTTTTGTCGTAAACGGCCGGAATACGACAATGCCAATTTTTCGGTAACAGCCATTTTTTTCACCGGAGTTCGTGGAATTCTTGTGATGTGTTTGTTGGACACGCTTCGGCAGAAACTGCTCTTCGCCGACGACGAGACGTCAGTTGAATGTGCGCAAGCTTCTTTCTCGAGTGTGTTTGTGGGGTGCCCTGAGTTGGATTATACATCTATTAAGGATAACATGACATCGCTCTTTTATTAGTAAGTACACTGCAAGCATGCTTCTGGTAGTAGTCCTGCTTTCCTCTCAATCTCCGCGGTTTTTGTGTGATGAGTTTTGCTTGGCATGAGGACAGTGTTGATTCTATTTTATAATTTGCTTTTCGTTTTACAGAGAAGTGTGACCATTGTAAATATGTCGAGAATACACTGTGTGTAATGATAATGGTTTAATAAACACCTGGGAGCGATCGAAAACATTTTATTTGTCCATATATGTGATTGGATATGCAACGTACACATACTTGCACGATATTCTACCAATACGGAGCAGACGCGTCGTAGAGTATTCGGACAATATTGCGCGAACGGAAGGCCGGGGCGAAACAGCTGTACGCCAATACCTGCCGGATATCAAACGGTGGTGCAAAACTGGACATTTGAGCGATATTGGAACCGACTTTCGGCCAGTACTGGCACGATACCGCAAAGTATGGCCGTGCTGCTTGGGAACGAAGTCATGACATCTGACCGTCGTGTTCTCAGCGCTTATTTAGTTTAATTCTCTTCTGGGGCGCGTGAAAGAGCACTTCTGTGACACACCAGAGATATTCCAAACTTGGGCAGGCCTCTCGGCTTTCTTTGCCACTTTGGCACTTATTTTGCACTTCAGTGGGTAGCCAGAGAAGAGTCAAACTTCGGCATGGCCCGAATCGCCACATTAAGATTTATTGTGGCAGTTATGGCTCAAGTCTGGCACTTACTTTGGCAGAACTGTGGCGCACCAGAGAAAGGCCAAACTTGGTGTGGCCGAAATACATAAATTAGGCGTTGCTGTGGCAGTTAGGGTTCAAGTCTGGCACGCACTTTGGCAGAACTCTGGCGGACCAGAGAAAGGCCAAAATTGGCATGTCCGAAATACCCAAATTAGGCGTTGCTTCGGCAGTTATGGCTCAAGTCTGGCACTTACTTTGGCACAGCTGTGGCTGGCCAGAGAAAAGCCAAACTTGGTGTGACCGAAATACCCAAATTAGGCGTTTCTCCGGCAGTTATGGTTCAAGTCTGGCAATTCCTTTGTCAGAACTGTGGCGGACCAGAGAAAGGCCAAACTTGGCATGCCCGAAATACCCAAATTTGGCGTTGTTTTTACAGTTATGGCCTAGGTACCCTACCGAAAAATCCGGTATAACTTTTCGCTATCCGGATTATGGAACCGGAAATCTATCTGGATTCTATCTGGACTCTATCTGGAATTTAGGTTTTCAGAAATTTTTCCTTTGTCTGCAATCTGGATTTCGTGTTTCCAGTAACAAATTTCCGGTTCCATAATCCGGATAGTGAAAAGTTATACCGGATTTTTCGGTAGGGTATGGCACCAATTTTGGCGCTCCTCTGGCGTTTTAAAGAAGAGCCAAGCTTTGGCATGCCCTAGGATCGCCCAACTACGGCTATAGTTAGGCACCGTACTTTGGCACTGATGATTGGCATGGTGCAAAATCCTAACTGCGCAAAAGTTGGGCCCTTATGTTTGCCATACCTTTGCCCAAGTTGGGCATTCCTCTGGCGTGCTACCTGGGAAAAGTGGACGACGAGGGCGAAAGGGACAAAGGAACAAAGAGAACCGCAAGAAAGGTGCTATCAAATACGCACGCGACCGATAGACTACTACGGCAATGATTTGTCGAACCCCACATACCCATAGCCTTCAATGGCAGCAATCTGCCCTGCAGAGAGGCTCCAGTCAATGGCATCTACATCCCTGTTGATCCACTTGTTTAGTTCCAGCTTGTTCTCTTCGACCAAGTCACTCAGCACGATGTGCTTGAACCGACTGGAGATCATGAGCGAGTTCACTATCATCGGGCCGCTGCCCACTTCCAAGATAGTCTCGCCCTGAATCAGATCTATGGAAAGCAGACCAGAGTTTTATACTGACCAAGCTGAACTGCCAACAAATGCAAAAACAAAATCATGCTGCTTTTATCTTAAAAACTATCCTAGTTCACAAAACATTGCCTATTTTGTGTTCACAACTTATGTGTCCAACTGTGCTCGGGTTAGACACCGAACACCTCGCCCAATAGAAACGCGAGGTAGGGAAGTGACTTCGCTTCACAGCCATACTTTTGGGGGTTCTCTCAATGTTCCCGCGTTTTGCCGTCGTGACGTCACCGTGCTACGTGTGTGTGCGAGTGCGCACCCTATGTTGGGCTTTAAACGCGACTTTAATCGTAACCACAACTACAATAACTAAGATGGTGGGAAGCACAAAAAGGACTTTCAGTTGGCAAGTCAGTTGGCGGGTCAGGCCTCGACCTGACCGCCAAGCTTTTTCGGAAGACCTCACCCTCTCGTAACTACTGCCCAGACATCGGCGGCTTCAATGATGGTTTTCTCTTTCTCTTGAGAACGCAAGTGCAGTCAAAGCACGGGGAAGGGCGTGGAGCGAGTGATAGTAACCGGGCGTTTAAAACCACAGCTTTCGCTTTTCTCACTTTCTAATTTCCACTAAAAAATGCACATTAAATGTACATGTTCATCTATCGCTAATCTGGGGAGCTGCAACCCTGAAACTTCAATAAATTAACAATTCGAATTCGATATTTACCCGATTGAAAAAGACGATGCGTTTCTTCCAGTTGGAAAAAAGAAATTTCCCCAGTAAAATATGAATCCACATATGTCCGTGCACGAAACTGTTCTTTGTAAGCATCCCTCAGTGCTTGGGATGACATGCTTTCCACACTGTGCGGAGTGGAACTCCTGCATGGAAATATAAAAAAATATTAAAAGAACACATTGTTATTGGCTTAATACAGGCATTGGAAAGTTCATAAATTAACATTTTCCTTGTAGTACTATGCAGTTCACGCTCAGAAGCATGTTTGGTTTCATTTGCATCCTCCCCTATAGTTTTCCTTTTTATGTAACTTTTTAGACGAAAATACAGAAGAAACGGGTGAAGGTCAGCAAGAAAATTTAAGTCCGGCATAAAACAAGCAGTATGAAAATCACATACGCTTTTTTCAATCTGTACACCTAGATATATTCTATATTTCGGTTACCTTTTCTTTGCTAAACTGCTGCATAGTTAGTTTACTAGAAGTGGTGTTCGACGTCTTAGATTTGTAGTGGCACTTATTTTCCTTAAACTTTAACTTCCGCCCTCGACAACTTCCATTCCATTATTCTATACGATCGAGGCCCAAATTCACACCTCACTAATTTGTACTAGGAAACTTTCATATGTTGTTGGTAACGTAAACGTTAGTTTCCCAATATACTCTCGCTCCAACTTTTTTGTTAATATCATTTTTTGAGTACGCCTTCAATTTTTGCAGAATACTGTCCCAAGAGGTAAAACACACCCAACTAGTTTAAGCGGTGCAGAGGAGTTAAAAATATTGTCGTGAATGGTGAGTTGACGAAGCAAGAAGCACTGAGAAAACTAGCACTTTTAATGGGGCTAACTTGCCGACAAAACAAAAAAGGGTACAGACGATAACAACAGAGCATCCCAAGCGTCAAATTCAACGTAACAGCATGATGGAATGCTGGGGTGAAACTGACTCCGGCTGTCCACGTGGGGCACCTTTTGTGTCCGCGTGTCTCTCTGGCCTAGAACGTTCGGCGCCTAGAACATTTGTAACTCGATCAGACGAAAGTGTCCTCCCTACTAAAAAAAAGAAAAAAACATTTGAAATTTACGCGGGTGGCAAACTTGTCAATTTGTTTGGATCAAACGAGATTATGGGATACGGGTACAGGTTTGAAAGGGTACCCGTTTAGAATGGGTGCCCGTTTGAAACGAGTGCCCGTTTGATACGGTACCCGTTTGATTTGGGTGCCCGTTTGATACGGGTGCCCGATCGATACGGGTGCCGTTTGATACGGGCGCCCGTTTGACCTGGCACGTGACCACATATTTGAACGCGCCATTCGGATAGGCAAATTAGTTAGACAAGACCTTAATAGGTCTTGTTCAGAAGGTTGGTTATCTTAAAAAAATACTTAGGACGTCCCTAAACTCATAGGCCTATTTATAACAGGGAGGAAACACGTAAAAATGTTATTGCGCAGTTGCTTGTAAATGGGCAGGAAAACAGACACAAAAGATTGTCTTCAATTCTCCTAGAAGTTTATTACAACTTATTCCGTAGACAAGTACAAACGTGCAAGCAATCTGTGAAATGTGAAGAGGGATTTATACAACTGAAAAGCTTTTATACAACTGAAAATATTGCAAAGCACACAAGAACAAAGGTAATTCTAGACAGTAATGGCAGATTTTCGGGGAATTATTCTCCGGCTGCCGCGAGAATTGGCTCTACATAATTCTATATATTGCCGCGCGCCAAGTAGGCAGCACGGCCGTAGCCTAATGATTCCACTTCCGGACGCGATAGCGAACGGACGTGTCATGCATCGCTCCTCGCCAGCGGCGGCGGCCGTTATCGGCCGCGGTGATAACGTTGCCCCCGTTTTGAAGGAGCATCGTCTGCAGCTGCCGACATTGCCCACCGGTGAAGCGGCAAAACTCAGCGTGGTCCTTCACGCTGACCTCGATGGGAGACCGTACCGCCTCGAAGACTTCCGGGACCCGTTGAAACAGGTACGCGTTTTGTCAGACGTGGCGGGTCTGGGAGCCTACCAGATGAGCCACGTCTGGCAGCTCAAGTTGCGGACGCCGGAGGCCAAGGCGAAGCTGCTGCAAGCCGGGAGTCTTCAGGTGAAGGGGAAGACGTGTCAGCCGGTCGACCCCAACCGGAGGGAGCTTCGCGTCAAGCTCCACTGGGTTTCCTTTGACGCGCCTGTGGACTCGATACGGCGAGCTTTCGAACCTTTCGGGGAGGTGAAGGAGGTTTCCCGAGAGAAGTGGAAGGTCGACGGCTTCGTTGACGTCGACTCCACTACCGTCGTTATGCGCCTGGCCCTCAAGGGGGACGTTGCCCTCGAGAGCCTCCCGCACCAGCTCCGTGTCAGCGGAGGCAACGTTTTGGTCGTAGTTCCCGGGCGGGCGCCAATATGTCTCCGTTGCCGTCGCATGGGGCATATTCGCCGCGACTGCCGGGCTCCCCGGTGCACGGAGTGTCGCGTTTGGACACGAGGCTCGGGACTGCGTCAAGACGTACGCCCGTGCGGCCTCCAGCAAGGTCACTGAGGAGTCCACGGAGCTGCTGATGGATGAGGATGAGGCTGAGCAGGCTGCGACCCCGGCTAGGTCAACGGCGAGCGTAGCGGCCGCTCCCGAGGGTGTCGCGGAGCCGTCCACAGTCGATGCCGCGCCGGTTGCTGGAACGGCTGGCCGGGCCGAGTGTCCGGGCGTTCCGTCCGTCGAGGCGTCGAGACCTGGGAACACGGCAGCCGGCACGAGCGACGTCACCGCCCCTGACTTGTCAGGGGAATCGCCCATGGAAGACCAGGAATCTTCGGCAAGCGGTGCAGCCTCGAAGCGGACGCGGGACGACGGAAGCGGGGACCCTAACGTGACGAGCCGGGAAGAGCCACCCTCCAAGGCAGCGCCCCTCTGGAGAAGACGGCTCCAAGTCAAACAGAACATTCCTGTGAAGGACCAGAAAGGGGCGCAACCATCCCCCTAACCTGGCGTGGCCGGTGGCTTTCGGACGTCGAAGTCCGCTCGTCGGACGGCCAACTTCTCAGAACTTAAGGTAGGCACCATACGGTCTCCCTTTCCCTGAATGGCAATACGTCTCGAGGCAGCCTTACGCGTGGCCATGATTAATGTTCGTGGCCTGTCAGCCAGGCGTAGGCAGTGCCAGTTGAGCCGTTTATTTTCTGATAACGAGCTTGATATTATTGCCGTTCAAGAAACCAAAATTGAAAGCCAGGAACAGACTGACCGTATGGTGCGACTTTTTCAGTGTTTTTTTAACGTTTGCGTGTCGCATGCTGTTGGGTTTTCCGCCGGCTGTTGTTTGTTTATTCGGCGGTCAATTGGAGTGGTAGAAACAGCCGTGCATTCTTGTGGTTCCGGGTGATTTGTTTACTGTGATTTTTCTTTTTCTAACGCTGATTGGCGCGTTTTCTGTGTCTACGCGCCGAACCGCGAATGTGAACGCAAAGTTTTTTTTTGAAAGCCTGAGCACGTATCTCGATTGCGAGCGGGTAATTATTTTTCTTGGTGATTTTAACTGCGTTTGTAGGCCACAAGATCGAGCGAGTCATGCTCCTGTTCTAGACGCGAGTTCCTTTTCTTTGAATGACCTTGTTTCGGGGCATTGCTTAGAGGACGTGGCGGCCTGTATGAATCAGGGAAATGTACAGTTCACGCATTTTCAAGGCCAGAGTCATGCGAGACTGGATTGGGTCTGTGTTTCTCTTAATCTTTTACCTCTTTGTAGCGATTACTTTGTTAAGCACATGTCTTTCAGTGATCATGCGTTAGTCATGTTTACTCTTGGCAATAAGACAAAATCACCTAAATGGGACTCGGCACTATGGAAGGTCAACAGTAGTATTCTTACGGATGAACCTTTTAGAGGAAGTGTGAGTAAACTTTTTGAAAATTTATATGGTAACGATAATGCACTGTGAACTGTTCGTTGCGATCTTTTTAAAGAAGAAGAAAAGATGGCTGCAATCGAGAGAAGCAGCACCCTTAACTATCAGAAAAAGAAAGAAGAGGATGTTTTACGGCGTCAGTTAAACGGTTTTGTAACACTAGAGAGCGCAAATCCCGGTGAATTTATGCGCGAAATAAAAGAATGTAAAAGTAAATTGGAACTGATCGATGTCGAGAAATACAGAGGAGCGATAGTAAGGGCTCGAAGCGACAAGCTGTGGATGGGTGAAGCTCCGACGAAGCGCGCACTATGCGACGAAAAAAGTTACGCGCAACGTAACGATATCAGGGAAATCTGTTACGGAACCACGGTGACGCGTGACAGGGCGGTGATTGAAAGGGCTTTTGTGGAGCATTATCGAAATCTGTTTGGGCGCATCGCGTCAGTAGACGACGGGTTCGATGCGATTTTTTGCTTTTGATGCCCCAGCTAGAACAGCACGTGTGCGACAGCCTAGAGGTGCCTATCACCGTGCCGGAAATCGAAGCGGCCATCGATGAGCTGACTAGTGGAAAGACCCCAGGGCCGGATGGCCTTGGTGTCGATTTTTATAAGTCTTTTAAGTATGCGGTGGCGCCTGCGCTGTATGAGGTAGTGACCGAAGCCTATGAGAAGCAGATGTTACCCCTATCTTTTCTTAGGACGCACACTGTGCTTATCCCTAAGTACAATGATTCGGTGAAACTCTTTTCAGTGGGATCTTACAGGCCGATTACTTTAACAAACGTTGATTATAAAATTTACATGAAGATTTTAGCTAAAAGATTACAAAGGGTTATTAAAGTACTCGTAGGGCCGCATCAGACGTGCGGCATAAAAGGCCGTACGATTTGCACGAATATACATGTAGCTAGAAGCGCTTTAGAATGCTGCGACGCCTTTCAAGGCCGAGTAGCAATGTTGCAACTCGACTTTGAGAAAGCGTTCCATCGTGTTTCGCACCGAATACTTTTTCGTATTTTGGAACACGCCAATGTAGGGTACATTCTGTTAGAAGGTTTGAAGATGGCTTATAAAAATTGCATTACAAGTTTAGTTGTAAATAAGAGAGTTACAGAAAGCATTGAGATACGTTGTTCACTTAGGCATGGTTGCCCACTTTCGCCCTTGCTTTTTGCTATATTTTTAGAACCGTTTTGTTTGAGACTTCTTCGGAACGATAACGTACGTGGTTTTAAG